CCAAATTTCAGATAAAAATTCAACCGGGAAGGCAGTCAAATGATTTTTTGAAGATAACTGTGTGCGCAGTTAAACAACGCAGTACATTTCGGAAAATCATTTGACTGCCTTCCCGATTTAATTTTTAGCTGAAATTTGATATGGGCGGTAAACTAGACTTAATGAAGAAGATGCTCAAAAAATTTCATCAACAAATTCCACCGGGAACCGCCCCAATTGGCGACGGCCGGGCAGAACCTCCTATATAAGGGGCTAATTGAACACTTTAAGTTAGTTCATGTACCTATTTGACTCTTTAGCCAAAGAAAAAAGATATTGTATGTCATTCATTTGAGTCTCATGCAGCTCCTTTAATATGCATTAGTCAAGCATCTCACATTCATGATTGTATACTGCTTACCATATATAATAAATAACTTAATATAATGCTATAAGTTGAAGGATGATTCAACGAGGAAATAGGTAGAAATAATTAGAGAAATTTAATTGACCACCCAATTCCTTTATATTACTAGTACATAAAGATAGGCCCGGGACTTGGAATCGTAAAACCGGAAAAACCGAACCAAACTTTTCGGTTTAGTTCAATTCCTATAATTTTGGACTTCATCTTTTCTTTTGTTCGGTTCCTATAGTATATGATCGGTTCGGTTCCAGTTCCTGCAGGAACCGTACTTCTTATACATTGCATGAGTGATCTTGATTTAAGGTGCTACTGAGTGGAATTTTTTATAAAACTTTGTGTGCTTGTTTTTCATAAATGTAGATTATGTCCACCAAATTTGAGCTTAAAATTCAATTGGGAAATTAGTTACTCCCTCCGTCTCATTTATTTTGTCCCGTTTTACCTTTTCGGGAAGTCCCACTTATATTGTCGCATACCATATTTGGCAAAATTTGTGTGGCTCTAAATCATTCTTACTTTATTCTTACTTTATCAATTAATATCAACCACACAAACCCACTTTTCTTAATAACCGTGCCACCCTCTTCCGGGACAATATAAATGGGACGGAGGGAGTACATAATATATTATTGAAAGCACTACGTCAACATACATATAAAAAACACAATGTTTTTCAATATTTTATTTAACTCACTTTCTGATTCCAGTTTAAGCTGAAATTCGGTGGTGGGTACACTTCATGAAGAATATGCTCACAAAAAACATCAAAAAAGTTCTACCTGGAAGCACCTCAAATGGAGGTGGCCAGATAGCGTTCCAGGCGGAAAATTCTTGTCTGGAATATTTGTTTTGCATAATATACCTTATATATTGTGGACCACATCAATTCGAGTAGTTGTTATGTTACTACTGTTAAGGTTTATTCCTTAAACCCTTGAGTCCAACACGTAAGCCCAAAGGTCTCAAGTGGAGTGGTGTATGTGTGTACGAATAAACTAGCCCAACAAGCAACTAAGATGGATCAAGAAACAGTAAATAGCAAGAGTTTAGGTATTATTAATCAGTTAATAACTTCCCAATACAATACGCTTGCTAAGGCTCGTCGGCCGTTCGTTTTACAAGGCAGTAGAAGAGCTGCGAGTAAGAGAAGTATAACCTAGAGTGCTAAGAATAGTAAGTTGTCAACCCTTTACAATGAAATAAATGATGCTATTAATACTACCAATGGGCAGTTGACCATGCTGGCGTGGAGGGCTGTGTGTGGCTGCTGTCTCAACCACCAAATCTCCAGCATTAATTGTGTTTCCCGCCAGAATCTGGGTTTCCTGCCTAACCCGTGGAGACGGACGTCCAGCTGGGAAAGGGGGCCTGCTCCTGGTGATACTGCAAAGGGTAACGGGCCGTTCATATCCTAACCCTTAGAGGATTTGTCACGTGGATTGGAATGGCTCTAAGTGTTAGTAGCTTCCAGAGGCGACGTTCGTCGCCGTTGTGATTGTCGGTGGGTTTGATCCACTTGTCTTCGTAAGGACGTTCGTCGGGGTGGGCTGCCCCGTCGGGATAGACGTTCGTCTGGATTAGGGGGTGAATGGGTCGGCCCTTTATTTGGGCCATTAACCCAACAACTACTTTAGTCCACTTTTATATTTATGATAATAACATATGTTATTTGTTTGTGATTGTTTTTGTTATTTGAGTTCACCTAAAAAGAAAATAATATTCTAGTGATCATACATTGTTATTTTTTCATAGTAAATTACAAATATTACCGATCAGTTTATTACTACGTACTTTTTACTTAATGCATTATGAGGTTGAACCTTTTTGCTATTGGATATGTACCTTGAAGTTATTAAACCTTTTTGCTTGATAGTTGATGCTTATTTTAAACTTTTATATTTTTGTTATGTTTAAGCTGAATATTTGCACTTGGATATTTTGTGATATTCGAAGATTGGAATATCATGTATGTATAATGTAATGGTCATAATTTCATTATTTGAAATATGAAGGGAATTTGAAATTTTGTTATGTAATTGAAGGTGAAATGTGTTCATTTTAGAAGGAAAATAAATTTTTATTAGAAACCGAAAAAATGTATGAATCGAACCGAATTTAACTAGAGAACCGAATCAAATTTAGCGCCTATAGTTTTTAATATTGTTTCATCAAATTTTAAGAACCGAACCGATCACAAGCCTAATCGAATTCCATCGAATATGCTCTTTATCTTAATCTACAAGTAGCTTTCTTCATATGTGTGATTAAAGTTAATTGTACATATATCTCTTAGAGGAATAAAATAGATAAACAAAAGTAATGTTTAGTGGATCTAGATGCTCTAGGCGGCCAATTAAGCGCTCGGAACAAGCAACTAAGCACCCTATGCTGTTGACTAATTGATCTAGGCAATTGACTAATGACGTGGGGGGCAAATCAATCAATCATGACGCCTAGATTAAAATCAAGGCACCCGACCACAGCCTATGGGGGGACTAGTTGGGCATCTAGAGCAATTTTTAGAACAATAGCCACTACAAAATGGAGAATGAATTGGGCATTGTCCGAATATTTTTATAATTCTATGTGCTCGATTGAGTTTATTTTGCTATGAGGGCATAATTGTTGATTCATCTATATTATGAGGACGTATTTGATAGTTTTTCCTACAATATATAAGGAATTATGACTCGTATTATCTTCATGAATCCACAATCAATTCACTAGTTTTTCCCCACATATTCCCACATAAGCTATATAGATTACAATAGTTGAAGTAGGATAGAGTTAAATAGCATCAGCAACGGGGAGGATGACATGCGCTTTGTCACGGTGCGTCAAAATAAATTCAATACTAACACTTATACGTAGTATAGCGTAGTAGAGTTCTTATCCACAGGGAAAAGAATAATTCTCTTTTGGGAAAACTGTCAAATAGGTCCTCGAACTTTCATAAAAAGGTCAATTAAGTCCTTCTATATGAGGTTCTATCCGGCCATCGCGATTTGGGGCAGTTTCCGGTGGAATTTTTTGATGAAATTTTTTGAGCATCTTATTCACCAAGTCTAGTTTACTCATACCAAATTTCAGCTAACAATTCAATCGGGAACACATTCAAATTAATTCTTGAAGATAACTGCGCATTTTTGCGTTCTCGGATTAATTTGAATGCGCTCCCGATTACGACGACCGTACAGAGTCTCCTATCGAAGGACTTAATTGACTTTTTTATGAAAGTTCAAGGACCTATTTGACAGTTTTCCCTTCTCTTTTTATAAAACTAGTGAATAAAAGGGGGGTTTTGGGATTGTTGGAATTTAATTAAATTAAATACGAAGATGAACAACTTATATGAGATTTAATTCGTAGATAAAAAGAACTTGGTCTTGCTACTTTCCACTTGTTGATATATTTTAGCCGATCATTGTTATATCTATAACTTATCCCCTCTCGGATACTCAATCGAGGAGTATCTCCAATTCATCGAGGGTAGTTATTAACAACGACCGTTCATTAATAACCCTTACTATTAATCAAATATAGAACAACGTCGTATACCGATATAATAGTAGCATTTAATCTCTTTAACTCCTTGATGAAATCAATTGAGATTGATAACCTTAACCCAACGGTTTCGGTTTAACCAACAAAATTAATCCCTCTTAAGTTTATTAACCACGACCGTGCATTAATAAACCGAAGTTACTTATTTGTGAAGCCATCAACGATTAATCATCGGTTCGTTGATCGTTTCTAGTAATAATTAATGTTGGAACGTTAACTAATCGTCACTTAGCAACCCTCCAACACTAATATAGAATGAGATTAAGGGAAGAATTAATAATCAAGAGGAGAAAGTAAGAAAATAACTCACAACTTTAATAATAAACAAGCTTCAAGAGCAAAACCAAGAAATGGAAGTTTAGCTCCTCATTTGGAGACTAAACATGCTATAAAAATATAAAATAAATATTATTCTAAGTTGAGCTTAAGAGTATGGAAGAAGGAGTGTTTGCAGTTGATTAAAAAAAGCACTTTTCAGCTTTTGGCTTAAAAAAAGTTCAAAAGAGTGTTTTCAAATGACAGCTTCTGCTTAAATTAATCACTTAAAAGCTAAAATATCAACCGGGAAGGCAGTCAAATGATTTTTTGAAGATAACTGCGCAGTTAAACAGCGCAACACATTTCGGATAATCATTTGACTGTCTTCCCGGTTGAATTTTTAGTTGAAATTTGGTATGGTAAACTAGACTTAATGAAGAAGATGCTCAAAAAATTTCATCAAATAATTCCACCGGGAACCGCCCAATTGACGACAGCCGGGCAGAACCTCCTATATAATGAGCTAATTGAACACTTTAAGTTAATTCATGTACTCATTAGACATTTTGACCCTTTAGCCTATAAATAAAGAAAAAGAAAGGGGTAAAGACCTGTTGGAAAAGATAACTAAAAAATATGGAGTTAAAAATTAAAAACCCATTAAAAAAATTATATGGACAATCCACATAGGCGGTTAACCCGTTAAACCGCTCAATTAAGCATTTTATTATAAGAGTTTGATGGTTCAATTAATTGATTTTAAGTTACAAGGGCTTGATTGACATTTTAGGCATAATAAGAACCTATTTGGCACAACCTCAATCCTATTGAACCAGTCGAAATCTCGAATTACCACTTCACTACTCATATTATACAGGCTGCAGCGGTGAAATATCACCTTCTTTCTTGTTCTCTTTTTTAGTATTTTAACCTGAATTTGTGAGAACCACAACTAATTAAATGAAACAATGCATCAAATAACTAACAACAGCAACAACAAAACTTTCAAATCACAAGTTTCACAACAAGAACGAACAAATAATTTTAACTCACACAAAAAAAGGGACTACCACATTTGAAAACTTCCTACTATGACCATCATGTTCATTACTTTCAGCAATTTGCTTCAAACTAGTCCAAGATTTTCTCTTTCTCTTGCTACCACCTGCGTCAATAGTGGTTTTATGACTACCATCCGTAGTTGTAGTAGTAGTGGTCATGGTGGTTGAAGCGCATTCAGATCCAACAGGCTTCTTCTTTAATCCCCCTGACCAGTTCCTTCTCTTTCTCTTCGAGTCCAATAAACTGATGTCCACTCTCATCGATGAAGGGGTCGAAGGATCACCTGCTGTTTCAACAGACCCGCCTAGCATAATCTCATTATTGCCATCACTTGAAGTGACAGTCTTTGATTCAGATGACTTTTTATGTGTTAACGGCTTGGGCTTTTGTGGGCATATTTCTTTCATATGGCCTTTTGGGGTTCCTCTCTTTAGGTTCCGGTGTGAACAAAAATGGCAAGTGTACACCACATGATTCTGTGGGCTGCATCTGGATTTCTTGCTCCTGTGACGAGCCTTTGGGTTGCTCTTCTCAACTCGAATAGTACAATTGTAGCCTGGTTGAAGAACAGATTCGCATCTGCGGAAGATCATTATAATTTTTTCAGCAGTTCGCTCATTATAAATAATAGAGGATTTTCAGTGTTTAAAGGTACCAAATGACGAAATGTTAAAGTGCTGATAAATTGATTATATGAACCGAGCAGAAAAGGGATGCAAAAACATATTAGCAATGACACAAGAGATTTTAAACCAGATGAACACTATGCCTTATCTGCCTACCACCTATTTCTTTTTAGAAGTTAGAACTGAATCACTGATCTTCATTCCTCAAATCTATAACAATCACTACTTTAGAGCCTGTATGGATACCTTATGGTTTAAGTGCATTGATATAAAGTTATTTCTTAGTTAACCACTAAAGTATTTTTTAATAAGCACTTCATAAGGCATCTCAAACACGCTCTTACTCTTCTTTGGTTGATCTTTAGTGATGCAGTCAAGCAAAAAAAATGACGCAATGTAAGCATCACTCTGCCAGTATCGTTCTGAGATGAAAATAGAAGAATTACATGTGGTGAATCGGACCCATGTACAGATCTAGAATAAATAACTAGAATAATGTAACAAATGCAATCGTCTGTTAAATTTTTTCCCCAATCACTATAAGGTTGTGAATTTTTTTTCTACCATCCAACATTGAATTAGTTGTTGTTATTGTTTGTTGTTGTATCCAACATTGAATTATTCACCTTTTGTCAAAAGTAAAGGTGGCTTATGTTTATTCACCATTCAAATATACATCACTACACCACATCTAAAAAATAGATGCAGTATGAAATGTATCTTTAGTAATATCACTAAAGATTTCTATATACATATCACTACACCACATCTAAAGAATGGATGCAGTATGAAATGTATCTTTAGTAAAATCACTAAAGATTTCAATATACATATTACATATCACTACACCACATCTATACATCAGTATGAAATGTATAGTGAAATCACTCAGTGTTTTCTGATCAGCGTGATACTAACTACAAGGAAAAGGTTATGTTCTCAAACAGGAATGGAAGTAATGATGTGAATTCACAAAACCTTATTTGAACCAAAAAATCTCACCAAACATGAATTTTGAAAATGTAGGGTAGTTAAGTGTAGATAAAAATGAAAAAGAATAAGAGAAAGTAGATACAAAGGTAGAATAAAAGGCAGCCTGGTGCTGGTGCACAAAGGCATCCCCGCAAGGCAAGGATATTTATGTATGGGGAAAGGTCCTACCACAAAGGTGTACAAGGGGTAAGCCTTGCCCTTTGCTAAAACGGTGAGGATATTCATGTCTTTTGATACTACAGTAGTTGCCAAAAACTAAAAATGACGTATGAATAAGCTTCCTTGGATTATAAAGAAAATGAAATCAGTTGAAGTAATTACAGATATAAAAAAAAAAATCATGCATGAAATTTATTAAGAATAAAGGGAGTAAGCAAAGCAAAACCTTTGACAAGGGACAAAAGACGGGTCAGGAGGCAATCCCAAGGCCTCGGAGGAAGCAGCTAAACTCATGCCAAAAAAGCAGCCTAAAGAAGGTATGGATGTCTCACCACTGGCCCAAACCGCAAGATTCTTAATATGCTCCAGTTTCAACATCGACTTGGCATTAACATGGTTCTGTTTCCTCCCATTTGGATCATGTTTAATTGTGTTTGATCCTTTCTTTCCCATCTTTTATGGTGGCTGCAATGCCTTCTACCAGAATTTACCCCACAAAAATCAGTAAAATGGTGAATTTTCAGCTTTATAACCCCTCAACTAAGGTTTTACTGCTTTAGTTCACAACAACAATCTAGGGAGCCATTTAGGGATATTCCAGTGGTCATAATTCAGAATTCACAAGTCAGAACCCACAAGGAAAGTGTATATTACAAATTGGAAAGGAGGGAGTAAAATATAACAAAAATACAACTGAAAGTAAAATACATACCTGAAATCGGAGGACCAGAGAGTCAGTGAGAAGGCAGGGGCGGATGGCGTAGCGCAGCCTCACAGGCTCACAGAGCGGTAGGGTACTGCGGTCCGCGAAGCGAAATAAAAAATTGTAGGGGCGATTCGGCCGACTGCGATATTCCCGGCGAAGTGGAGAACGACGACCGGCGTGATTTACGGCTTTCAGGCCTCCGCTTGGGCCGTGTTTTTTCGCTTAGGGCTCTGGCCGATGGTTTCAAATAAGTGTTCACATAGGTCGTATACGGAACCCGTCATCTGGTTTCTTTTGGCTCGAATTGTTTTGGGAGTGAGGCGATTTGGGACGATTGGAGGAGTGTTTGAGGCGGAGATATTGTTTCTTGAACAGTAGGAATTGCTTAGCACGTTGCGGTAGGAATGAAAACATTTTTTACTAAGGTTAAGGCTATGTTTGGCACACGGACTCTAGCTTCTAGCTTCTCTATTCTTTAAAAAGACCTTAAAAGACTCTAGTTGTATGTTTGGCATGACATTTTTTAAGAGCTTTTTAAAAATTAAAAGATCTTTTTTGAGATGCTACCGGGTGTAACATCTAAGAAAAGCTCGTGACATTTAGTATTAATTAGTCCTAACAGCTTGTATACCAAACCGAACTAAATCAAACAGTCAGCTTTTTACCAAACAGCTATCACCTTTTCTTTTTAAGATCTTTTCAGTCACTAAAAACTAACAGTTGCTAAAAAGCTTGTAAAAGTATCTTTTTAGCTAGTTGTGCCAAACATACCCTAAGATTGTATAGTTAATCGTTTTGATTAAAATCAATTTTAATAATAGGAATGTATTTAGTAAAAAACGGGCTGCGAATTATCCGAAAAGCGTACGGATTGGTACAACAAATTGTCTCGGCTCAATACTACGTGTTCATACTATACTTTCTCTCCTTGATCTTCAGCTTATTTCCTTCCATTTTATAACAAGAGGGAGTATTAATTTTCTTTTTTTGGTTCAAAAAATTTCTTTTTCGAATGTGGGTCTGACTCTCACTATTCCAAGACCCACTCCTGACAATTGGGCTTCGCATATGAGCAGAATTGCGAGTTTATGGAGAGGGCTGAATTCCAAAATGCATAATTTGAAGACAAGGGACGGAGCCAGGACACTGGACTAGTGATGGACCCGGGCCGGGTCGGGCCCGGGCCGGGTCAAGGCCCGGTCGGGCCTCGGGTCCTATAATGGTAGGCCCGGGACCGGCCCGGTCAATGACCGGTTCCGGTTCGGGCCGGGCCACCCGCCCGGGTCACGGGTCGGGCCACCCGCCGGGCCGGGCTGGGCCAGTACATTTTTTTTATTATTAATTATATACTCCCTCCGTCCCTGAATGTTGTTCCAATTGCGGATTACGAAGGTTGACCGACAATAAAGTTAAATGATCCCTGTGAAAACTCGGATTATTTTTAGTAAATAAAATTTACATATTCAGAAACTACATTAAACCCGCTACAAAGCCTGCAAAAAAAAATCAATTTTCATAAAGTTTTGATACAAAAAGTAAGAGTTTAAGAGTGATTTAAGTTGACTCTCGAAAAGCGAAATGGAAGTAAATTTAGGGACAGAGGGAGTATTATACAAATTGCTATTAAAAACAAAGTTCAAGTGCATTTATTTGAAATAAGAACTACATTTGAGAATTGAGAAAAAAATAACAATACGAAATACATTTTGTAATGAATATCAATTGGGATTTCTGCCACCGTTGGTTGTTGTTTTCCCTTTGTCACAGGACTTCATATGTTTTATTGGCATCCCGTATCCGTATGAATGCCCCAAGCAACAGTCTTTCTTGCACCACCTGCAAGTTGCCCACCACAGTCCGGTCTTCGGGTCCTTCCACTTGTCAAAATTGTTTTGCATAAGGGAAGATGTACTTTCCATATTTAAAATGGTATATGTATAAGTAGGAATGTAGGATAATAAGAGAAGATGAAGATGGAGAAGAGTTTGAGAAGAATTGGAGAAGAGGTGTAGAAAAATGTTAGAAAATAGATGTATTTATAGATGTTTTTGAACCTCACTCCCCACACCACCACCCCCGGGACCCCCCTGCCCCCCACCCATAGCCCCAACGGCTATATAGCCGTTTGGGAGGTATGAATTAATTTTTTTTTTTTAAGTTATACACATATTGTAAAATAAATTAATTAATTTAATGAATTAAGTAAAACTAAAACTATTTGTACTTAGAAAAGTGGTTTGATTTATAATTTACAAATGTTACAAAATAGGTGTATAAGTATTTAAACAAATTACATATTGTAAATGTATTTTTAATTTAAAAATCGGCTTTATATTTTAGAAAAATAATTTTAAGTCGTTAGATTGTAACCAATTAATTAATTTGAGAAGTGCTACATATGAAAAAGTGAACACATATTTATTTGAAATATGAAGTACAAGTTTACAAATTAATTTGAAGTACAACTACAAATTTACAATTTTGAAATATGAAGTACAAGTTTACAATTTTGAAATATGAAGTACAAGTATAAATAAATTTGACAAGTGCTATAAAATACATTTTGTAATAAATTCTAAAATACTAATCAATCGGAATCTCCGGCATAGGTAGAGCCACCATCGGTTGTTGAGTCATCCATAAAATCTTGGGAGGGGGTGATGCTCAATTCTTGAGTTCTACGTGCTGCCTTCAACCAATCGTGGTAGCATATAAGCGTCTCAAGAGACTCCGCGCTCAATCTCGATCTAGATGTCGTTAGGACGTTGCCGGCCGAACTAAATTCTTGTTCCACAGCAACTGTTGAAACCGGCATTGATAGTACTTGCTTAGCCATCCGTGCTAAAATCGGGAACGTTCTTTCTTTTGACTTCCACCAGTCTAGAACGTCAAAGTCATCATTTTCTTCAAAATCAACTTCATATGTTAAATACAAAGTAATCTCATTCAATGCGCTTTGTTCAGTGACGTGAGTTGTTTTAGTTTTTTTCATAAGATTGCCAAATGCAGATTTAAAAATCGATTTTCCTTTAGATGAAGATGTTCGTGACGGGGGAGGGGGAGCGTTGCTATATTGTGCACGAAACTCATTAAATAAGGCATAAAATAAAGTACTAACCTCGTTGTATTCCGTTTTCGGATCTATGGGGTTATCGTCATACATTGGAAATTCACCGAAAAACGCAAGATAATAGAAGTTGAAACAATCTTCCAAATTAGCAAGTCTATAACGAGGATCGAGAATAAATGCAATACCATAAATATGGGGAATATGCGCATAATATTTTAAAAACTTTTCCTTCATATGATCACAAAAATAATGAACGAAAACGGCATTTTGAAATTCTTTAAAAGCATCGGCGAGATTAACAGCTTGTGGAATAAATTGGTTTGCGGTAGGTTTATAAACATGACTAAAAGTTTCAGTAGCATTAAAAAAATATATCAAAACATTACAAATTTTTTCGCAAGTGTCGATCTCAGCCGCGTTTATAATATAGTTATCATGTTCTTTTAAAAAAGCAGGAAAATGTTCTTTATATCTAAGAACAACTTTAAGTAATTTATAAGTACTATTCCAACGAATACTCAAATCTTTAGGAAAAGCAACATATCTCACACCTCTTTCAGTCAAATAACTTTGCCATTTTAATCTAAGTTGACCATTACCCCAAATACGTCTAACCCCCCCCCCCCCCTTATTACCTCCATGGAATCTCCTAACGCTTTTAAACCGTCTTGCACACATAAATTTATAACATGACATGCACAGCGTTGATGAAAAAATCTACCCATCAAAGAATTGGCACCACACAACTCACGCAATCTAGGTATAGCAGCAGTATTATTAGTAGCATTATCGAAACCAATAGCAAACACCTTATCAATCAAATTATACTCAATTAAAATACGCTCAATCAAAATATAAATATGTTCAGCGGTGTGACGATCATTAAATTCACGAAAAGCAAGAACACGTTTATGCATATTCCAATCTTCATCAATATAATGTGCAGTCCGACCCAAATAATATAAATGATGAAAATCATCCTCCCATATGTCAGAACAAATAGTAACACGCCCATCAAAGTTTGCAAAAAAAATTTGTAATCTTTCCTTTTCCGCATTATAAAGCCTTATTATTTCTTTCTTAACAGTTTTGCGACTATAATTTCTAAATTGAGGATTTAAACTACCTTGTGCATAATCTCTTAAAGCAAGACTTTCAGAAAACAAATAAGGCAAATTTTCTTCACAAATTAAGTTAGCCATACCAGTCAAATTTTGTGCATCATTGTAGGAGAAATTACCAAAAGGTTGAGAATTCGCAAACCTCGATATTTGAGTTTGCTTCCCCGTTCCGCCGCCTAATTTTGCATACTCCACGGGGTGCTTTGCCTTAAGATGCCTTGCGGCGGATCCGTATCCGCCGGAGGTTCCCAAACTATAATTGTTGTTGCACCACTTGCAAGTTGCGTGCCAATAGCCGGTTTGTGGGTCCTTCCATTTATCAAAATTATTTTTCATTAGTTCAGACTTACTTTTTTTTATTACCGGTGGCGGTTTGGGATGAGGCAGGCGCGTCGGCGTCGTGGCTGCCGGCACCCTCCTCCTCGGCCGTCTCCGGTTCCAATTCCTCCGCATCTTCATCCTCAAGCTCCTCTTCGTCAATGGTCGTCGGCATTTGTTGTTGTTGTAGAAAGCGGTTATTATGTCGGGCCAATTCTTGTTGGAGTTGTTCTTCGGACATCGCATCTCCATCTCGCCTTTGGTAACCCGTTTCAAAATCATCTCGGCTTTGAGATGAAGAACCGGCAAGTTCTTTACCTTTGCGGGGTTTCTTCCTCCCAATCTCGTTCCTCCGATTGCGTTGGAGGTTACCCAAATCAACCGAATATCTACCCCCTTCCATGTTAAAAATGTAACAAATATTAATTGACAACCAATATAATAATGGATACAAAACTAATGCAACTAATTAAAACTATTTTAATTAATACTTCAAACTAATTTAGTGCAAAGTAGAATTAATGTGTGACTTTAAAATTAAAATTATACCAACTTTTGAAGTACTTTAATTTAGTAAAAACTACTTAAATAAAATGTGAAGTACTTTAATTAAATGATTGAACTACTATTTCTTCCTACAAATATAAATTGAAAATAAGAAAATGTGACTTTAACTATAATGAATTAATGACAATTAACTAGTTTATTGAAGTAGAGTTGTTTTAACAATTAATGAGAATACTAATGAAAGTAAATAACTAGTATAATGAAAAATGTAACAACAATGCTAATTAACTAATTAACTAGTATAATGACAAATGTAACAACAATGCTAATAAACTAATTAACTAGAATAATGAAAAATGTAACAATAATGGTAATGAACTAATTA